GGACGGCAGGTTAGCAGGTGCTCGCGGGTCAGTCGCGGCTGAGGTGTCTTGCTGCTGCAGAGCGGGCACTTGTCCGTCGGCTTGACGTTGATGAGTTCATGGAGGCCAAAACCCATCATGGACACGACCGTAATGGCAAAGGTCGTGTCGCTCAAGCGACGCAACTTGTCCCGACCCCGCATGGTCAAGACTGTGCTGACGCCCCACTCGCGTGAGGCCAGATATGCCTGCTGCAGGTCCAGCGCGCACTTGGCCATCAGGTCGTCCAGTGCCGCCTTGGAGCGGAGGGCAATGATCTCAGCTGGTCGCTGGGTGATTCCTTTCACGAGCACAACGTCATCCAAGGACTAGATCACCTTCCAGCTCACATCAAGCCCCTCGACCTTCGTGTTGTCTTTGCTCGCAAGCATGACGGCACCTTCAAGGCAAGCATTGTGGCCAAAGGTTTCAAGCAGCTCTATGGCATCGACTACAACGAAACCTACTCGCCCACTGCCAACATGGTAATAATAAATTAGGTGTTTGAACCTCAGAGCTGAAAGCCAAGCTGTGCAACCCCGACATCAAAATCACTACGTCACGCAAAACAACACAAGAGAACAGTACACTTTCATCGGCTTCTATCATGCCGAGAAGTACAGGCGAAAAAAAATCAGGCACAAGGAAACAAAAATCGTGAAAACCGACCAAGTATAACCAGAGATACAGCGATTTTTAACACTAGACACCCAAAAAGGCAGTCACATCACAAGTACAAGCCATCACAGCACGATCACACAAAGAACACCACGGCACGCTCACGTACAATAAGACACAACGTCGGGTTGAAAAAACAACCGACCACAGAAGAAAAAGAAAAGACATCATACAAGGGACTTTACAAAAGTACAGCAAAAATACAGCAAAAATACAGCAAAAATACAGCAAAAACACAGCAAATATTAAAGCAAAATTAAACACAAGTCAAGCCATGAAAAGACACAACAAGAACCACCTAGGGAGTGACGGGTGCACACAGGGATCCCTACAGAGGGACCCCCGAGACGGTGCCTACGACGAGCGCAGGCAGACACCGCCAAAGTGGCGCTGTTAGCGTCAAATCCGTGCTTGCACGCATTTGAACACTCCCACTGCTTTCGCACACACTCAGCATCGGTCGCTATGGGTCTTCCTATTGGTATTCCATAGCGGCGACGACCTCACACATTGACACCTACACTTGGTCCTCCTGGGCCTGGTCCTCCTCGTGGGAGTCACATGAGTAAACACCGCGTGTGACGCGGTCCCCACGATGCCTGGGCAGCTGCCCTGGGGCAATAAGCTTGTGACTACTGTTGTTTCCCTTTGTTGTGGCACCTGCGGTCGGGCACGAGTTGCACTTTCCCTATCCTCGGGATTGAGCGACTCTACAGCTATTCTAACGGTGCACCTGGTCTGGTCACTGTGAATGCTTGCCGACCGCAGGTACGTCAAGCCCCCTGCCATTCTGTCTTCCCCTTGCTCTCCTGTGTGCTCTGCTCTCTTGTGAACTTTCCCTATCCTCGGGATTGAGCGACTCTACAGCTATTCTAACGGTGCACCTGGTCTGGTCACTGTGAATGCTTGCCGACCGCAGGTGCGTCAAGCCCCCTGCCATTCTGTCTTCCCCTTGCTCTCCTGTGTGCTCTGCTCTCTTGTGAACTTTCCCTATCCTCGGGATTGAGCGACTCAACAGCTATTCTAACGGTGCACCTGGTCTGGTCACTGTGAATGCTTGCCGACCGCAGCTGGTTCAATTGACCTCAAGACACCACCAAAGCTTTCGCTCCGTTCCGACGGACGTCTCTCAAACCTCTCTCAAAACGCTTCCTCAAACCTACGCGCTTCCTCGCAACCCAAAGACGGCCTCCAGACGTGCTGGAGCCTGACAGGCGCTGGATGTGGTCAGCGTTCATCTGATGGACCAGCGCCGCAAAGCGACCCTTCCACCGAGGAACAAAGGCCTCGTCCAGCCCCGGCTGGTACACACCACGGGCCTCGGCGCAGCGAGCGAGCTGACCAAGCAGATCCACAAAGGAGGAGGCGAACCCACCGGTTGTCGTCATCGCCGCAGGGACGATCAGAGTTTTTCCATGATTGAAACCGGTGTAGTAATCGCGCTTCTCCTTTTCGGCTCGGCGAAGGGCAGCGCCCACCTTGATGCAGGCTTGCGAGGTGGTCAGGGGTTGGGCTGTGCGCACAGTCACGTCAATGCCCAGGTCAGGCAGAGTTGGGGCCAGCGCACCGCCGGGAAATTTGTCGACAAAAAAATTTGGCAATCTGTCATCAACTCAGGTGGTATACATCATGATTCTTTCGCCCAGACTTCATCTACCAGGCCCAGCAACTCGAGCTATGTGTTTGCTCAACGTGTCCATGGGCGCCGGGGTTCAAGCGGTTTATTTTTGACGCCAAGAGCAGTGCCCACTTCCTGTCATCAGTTTGCAAGACGAAGGAAGCATGCCGACGAAAGAACGACGTAAGAGAGAGCTCATTCTGACTTACATGTGAACTCTGCGCATAGAATAACGATGACTGACATGTGAATTTTAATTTGAACTGGTCATGAGATGATCTGGCTCAAGTGAATCCGACCAACACCACTCAAATCGAGTCGATGCGTTCGTGGTGTCTGTTTGTGAGTGCCCTTCAAATGACGCTTGAGGGCCTCAATCTGACTGCGAACACTTTGTGTCGCAGGTGTTGATGCCATTTGAGGGAGACATTGGTTGCCGATGCAACTTTTGAGCTTGTCAAACTGTGGGCCATAGAGGACTTGAAGCCGGTATCCGTAAAGCTATCATGCAATAAATGTTGAGAACAAAGTGTTTCGACAATGAGTAAGTTTTGCGTATGCATCAAAATTGCCACTATTTGAACGGCAAATCGCACCTCAATCGTTGAAGACATGAGGGTTGACGCAACGAGTACGTCAGCATCACTGTTGCTAGCTTGAGCAAGCATGCGCCAAACATCTGCTGCCGAAAAAATCTTGGTCGTACTGCTTGCAAAAGCCTGGCCATGCATGATTGCACACATTCGCTTTAGGAAAAATACTGCAATATTAACGCGATCAAGTCCGTAAATAGTCACCGACAGACCTCAACGAGAGCGACGACCACGCGAACAATGTTGTCAATTTTATCAACAAAATCTTCAGTTCGCTGATTCTCTTTCAGGCCCAGTACAGCGCGCAGCTCTGTCGGGTTCATATCGGGTGTCGGGTAGACGCCGCTCAAGGCTGGCAGCTATGGACCCAGCACAGGTAGACGGATGAACCAAGAATATCATCAACAATTAAACCGCAACACGTTGGCGAGTCGTATTCTGACAAACCTCTTTGTACAAAGCCGCCACCATGAATGCTGCTAAGCTAGTCTTATGCTCCACGGCATCGTAAATCAGTCGAAGTAGCAAAGCAGCGCTGACCACAACATCTGTGTCCGCATCACGTTGTAGGAAGTTGGCTTTAACAACCTTGTCCTGCATCACAGACATTCGACAAGTCAGCATACGCAGAGTCAAAACACTGTTTGCAACTGGACGAGCAACAGTGCAGAGCGAGTGCAAACCGTAAATGCGGAAGCGAAAACGTAAAACGCGTAAGCTCTCAAATCCTCTTTCTCGACAGCATTTGTCTGTCGATATTGTTGGATAGACCTCACGGCTGTGTCAATGGATCGTGGCCAACCAGGAGACGAGGGCACATCGGTTGATGCAGCAGTCAAGAGGACAACAAAGTGTTTAGCAAAATCGAAGATCTGATGGCGTGGTGCAGTCAGGGAGATCAAAGAAGAAAAACAGGCGGGGTGGATGAGGTTCGCAGCAGGCTGTTTCGCGCATGCAGGAAGGCAAAATACATCAAAAGTCAGTCAAAGTCGCCGCACCTCTGGCAATGTATTGGAGAGCTTGTTAAAATGACCACGAAAGCACTTTCGAAAATCACGAAGCTAAATCACGTACGATCAATAGGTAGATTAATTGACAATCTGGAAAGCTCAGACAGCTCATACTGGTGACACACGCTCGGACAAACCTCTTGACAACTCTCAAACGTTTGGAAGCGTGCATTACAAAGCGGAGCAATCATTTGCTCAAAGTAAGTTTTGCGCTGCGCCGGGGTCTTTGCGTGGCAATCCTGAATCGAAGTTGTGTCAAGCGTCACAGAGAAATGCTCACTCAAAGAGCTGTTCCATGAAGCGGGCGCGGACGACCTACTAATGCAGTTGGTGATGCTGGAGAATTGGACTTGATCACTTCATGTTGAGCTCTACATTGATGATAGAAATAATTGCGCATGGCGCCATAACGCGAAAGTAAGAAACACGGTCCATACAATCTCAAATAGCAACCTCATCGTGTTTGCACGAAGCCTGCATTACCGGGTCTTAACCACGTTGCTTGCTGAGGCATTCTCTGATTTCTCTGCAAGCGTAGACGTGGTTGTTTTGCCGGACGTCGAAAAGATATGATTAGTCCTGCTGTGACTGCCACCGAGATACGCGAGCGTGAACACACCTGGGGCTGCGCGTTGAGCAAGGGCTTGCAGCTCGACAAGTAGATTGCCTGCATATGCAACACTTGATTGATCTGATGAACCTACACAGGTGTATCATTTGATCAGATGCACTTGGGAGCAAGAATCGAGGCAAACATTATTTCAATGTTTCCAACCTCGCTTCGATAAGGCCTTGAGGGTGTCGTTCAAGGTCCGTAGCTACGTCACAGCCAGCACAGGAGTGAAGGTACCGACTTTCAAACACAGGTGCACTGATCTCACCTGTTCTTGATCTTCAGGCCTGAAGGTCGGCATGACGGGCTTTAATTGAGCCACAAGCTGTTTACGAGCCTTATCAATGCTCTATGGTGGACAAACATGATGTCATTACTCGAACAATGACAAGGATCATAATTGCAGTCACTCATGATGTTTCGCAAAAGAACAAACCTGAAGGGATGGTGTTGCGGCTGCATTGGACCCTGAATCGCCTGTGGATGGTATTGCGGCTACGTTGGGCCCGGAATCGCCTGTGGACGCAGTCAAGAATGAGTCGTGTGCTTTCGATTCAAGCACCTGCGAGGCGCTAAATGACTGCAATCGCATACTTGTAAACTGTTGAACAACGTTGTGAAGACGCCGATGTAGCTCAATTGCTTGCGGCAATACTGCATTGTTGCCTGTGGCACAGTACGCAACCACATGACGCGCACGCTCTCTCGAGTGACGATTCTTTGGATCAAGGAGAGACACATACCTTTTTCAGCAGCAAGTTTCAACCGTTTGTTGATTTCACGCACCTGGCAAATATCGGACAATTGCATGTAGAAGTTACGTGGCCTGCCTGACCAGTTGGCAAGGCTTGAAAGGTTTAAGCAGACGTACTTCAGTTTGTTTGTTCGGAGATAGTGAGTCCATGCACGGTTTGAGACGAGCGACCAAGCTCTTGCGAGCTACTTCGATCTCCTACGCAGAACGACACCCAGTCAAGTGCGGCTTCACGCAACTGACTAAGAAAGAAAGAAAAATACTACGAGCATGCAATCAGCCAAAGAAAAGGCCGCACGGCTAGGGTTTGCGGCGAGCTTGCAACCGGCGTGGAGGATGTCCCTGCCACTTGGGCGCTTGAGAGGGGATCTTTCAAAGGTTTCTGCGGGTGCACAGGTGATGCAGGCAAGGGGCTCGTAGAAGGTGGTGGTGCTGCCTCCTTTTGGGGCGATGGCTGTGGCGCTGGTTTCAAACGGTACATTGTAAACACACGTGTGCATCTTCGCCGACAGAGTCTCAGGGCCAGCAATCAAGCCAAAACGGTGACTTACGTAGCACTTGTGCAGCCACCTCCTTGAGTTGAGCTAGAAGCGCGCGCGCCTCCTCCAGGGTGCTGGGGGGTTCTGGTGGCGTGCGGCGGCGCACCTAGTGAGGACAATCGACTTGCTTCAAGAAGTGATACGATGCGATGCCATACTTGTTTTGGCATTCCCCTTCAAACGTTGATTGATCTCGCGCAGCTGCAGACACAAGTGTGCGGCTTGAGAAGAAGGTGCCATACATGTTGGGCAAAATGCAACAGAGCTCAACTCACCTTTTCTTGCTGCTGTTTACTTAGCGTTTGCATGATTGGCTTGAGCTGCGCCACCAGTGACTTTCGAATCACATCGACATCCTGAAAAAAAGAGAACAAAAGGTTGAGCTGAGCTCCCTTTTGAGACGCATTGCTCCGGGTGATGGCTGTTTGGCTGCACTCACCTCCAAAGTCGCCGGGTGTGATGTTTGCGTTGCTTTGGGGGTCGGATCTTGTGCTGGAAACAGCAAGAAGTAAGAAAGCCGAGGAAACAGTCGGACTTGACCAGTGACTTTAGTTGCATACTACCCGTCCCGCTCCGACAAGCCAAGCCAAGCCAAGCCAAGCCAAGCCAAGCCAAAAAGAAAAAAAAAAAAAAAAAAAAAAAAAAAAAAAAAACAATAAGGAACAAAAAATTGAAAGAACATGGCAACACACCGGAGTTGGTTGCTTGCGCAGCCTTGGCCGCAGCCTTGGCAGCTCGTTGTTTTTCTTCTTGATTCCTGCGTAACTGCGCTGCTTCTTCGCTACGGCGAGCCGTTTCCTCCTCCAAAGCAGCCCTGCGAGCTGTGGCCTGGCGTAATTGCTTCTCAAAGGCCTGTCATGACAAAAAGAAAAGCGAAATTGCTGAGATGCCATTTGATCCTAGGCTAGTGAGGGCTCGCACGACTCACTGCCATAACGCTATTTTGAGCGGCAGTCTCTTGCTGTAAAATCCTGCAGTCAAGAAAAATGAACAAAAAAAAAAAATTGAGAGGCGCGATCATCGAGGTGTTCTGCCCCTTTATCAGCCCAGCTCCTACGTGTTGTCCTGAGGCATTGATGATTCTGGATTCTCGGGTTGCTTGGCATTGTTGGATTGACGAGAACTAGACGAGTGAGTGAGGTGGGTCAATCAAAGCGTCAGCCACAGACAAAGACATTTGAGCCAGCCAGTGCGGTGCTTTGAAGTTGTCATGCGAGACGAGTCATGACTGGGGCACGTACGACGTTGGGGCAAACTCTTGCAACGATAAGCCAGAGGCCACGTGCACTGCAGCCTGAGATACGGTCTTCTTGCCAGCACCATTGATGCTTGAAACTGGGTGATTGGCGAGGTCAGCTGCCTGTGAAGACAGGTTCTGCATCCTCAGCAAATTCTGCCGAGCAAACGAAGGGGCGGGGGGGTGAGGGGGTGAGAGGAGTCGCTACAACTCATCAGGGAACAATAGGTGCCTGCATGTTCATTGTTTAGATCAGTCGACGGTTCAAACGGGTACCGGGAGCCATACCTGAGGCGTGGTGATAGGGCTAGCTTCACTTCTGGGGGGAGCTGGTGAGCGCAAAGATGCTGTAGTCCGGAAAGAGGTTTCACTGAAAGCAGAGCCTTGCTGCTGGGAAATGGCTGGCACACTGCCCCGGGATGCCAGCGGGCGCCGACGATGAAGAACGGGAGAAACCCGTGTTTGCTGCACCTTTCCACTCGTTGGGGCTTGGGCAGCCAGGGCTGCTGTGTCAAGGCGAATGGCATTCTTAGGCCGCGCCTTTTCCGAAGTATGTGTGGAGACTGACACATGAGCTCCTGCCGAAGCTAGCTTCGGCACACCACCAACTGCAAACAGGCCAGTTGCAGCTGATCCGCCAACGATAAGAATCCATGGCGCACCTGCCCAGAAGGCGACAACCAAGCTACCGACAGCAATCAATGCCGACGCTGCCGTCGACAACATGATGAGCTCGTTCTCGCCCCCACATGTGTGTGACCGAAAAATTTAAAAAGTTTGAGAGAGTTTGAGAGAGTTTGAGAGAGAGAGAGAGAGAGAGAGAGAGTTTGAGAGAGAGAGAGGGGGTGACAATTGTCAGACATGTCAGCCACTGACTTTTTTTACCTGCTGTTCTGACTGTTTTGGTTCAAGAACGAGCATGGCAGTGGTGGTGGCGGTGCTGCTGGTGCTGGTGGCCTCGGTCTTGGGCTTGCCAAGCAGCCACTCCAATTGGCAGTCATTGGTCAACAAGACAGACCTTTTTGTCAACAACCAGCCGTATGGCATCACCTACCCATGCTATCGCCAGCCGGCCCTGATCTTGATGGGTGAAGGCTTGCTGGCCTTTGCCGAAGGCCGGAACATCAGCTCTTGTGCGCCGCCGCTTCAGGCGGCCGCGCCATCGCCTGTGGAAGAGGTTGGGGGTCTAGTCTTGCGACGGTCGACAGATCTGGGTCGCACTTGGAGCGCTCCCATCACTCTGTACAGTGGCAACATCGACTTTTATGTTACCGTGTATGACGCCGAGAAGGATGTAGGCTGGCTGTTCTTGCAAGAGGAGAGCGCAGTGCGTGTATTTAACACGACCGATCAAGGTTACACTTGGGCCGGGCCATTTGCCTTTACTGCCCCTGTGCCCCCAGGACTTCGACCCACGGTGCAGCCGGCCGTGGGTCATGGCCTTCAGCTTCAACGTCATCTCTGCGCTGCTCCCGGTGGCTGCGCCGAGGCCGGCACGTTGGTCGTTCCATTTGTGTGTATGTCCGACACAGCAACCCCAGTGGAGAGAGTTCATTCGGATACGGCATGCGCCTCTTGCCAGAGCTGCTTGCTTTTGAGCTCTGATCACGGTGCTAGCTGGCGGTTTGCTGCCCTGGGGCAACTGGGGTCTCGTGAAGCGCAGGTGAGCGGACAAACCCGTCAAGCATAGTGTTTGTTATCCCCGCTGCGCAGCCATTTCCAGGCGCTGTGACATTTCTTGAGCTTATCGCACTTATAAAGTTGTGTACACCTTTCATATCCTGACCTCTGCTCGTGCCCATTTGTGCAACTACAACAGGCCGTGCAGATTGCCAGTAACACGTCATCAGCATGGTTGTACGTGACAGAGCGCAACCTAGGCCCCATGCCGGGTCACCGAATGTATGCCATCAGCCACGATGCAGGCCACTCCTACACTGAAACCGGCATCAACAAAGGCTTGGTCACTCCCATCACAGCAGACTGGACTGGAACGGTGGCTTCGGTGGAGTCCAGCTTCAATCAACAGCCAAGCTCGCCCTTGTTCATGGCCTTGCCATTCAACGCCACTGTACGATGCAACCTCACGCTCATGACAAGCTTGGATGCCGGAGCCACGTGGGCTGCCCAAACAGTCTTTTGGCCAGGCCTGGGCGCCTATACTGATTTGTCAGCACTGCCGACCGGTCTTGGCGTCATTTTTGAGAACGGCGAGGCCACATTTGCAGATCGCATTTCCTTTGCAAACCTTCTCCAATAGAAACTTGTTGTCGAAATGCAATCTTGTCTCACGGCCTCCTTCAAGCCCCACGCCACGTTGTCAGACCGTAATCAAAGAATCATGCTTTCAACAGTTCCCGATGCCTGTGTTGGTCTCTCAGCTTCTATTCACTTTCTTTTCACAAACATATGCACCACACACGTCACGACTAACACCCATCTTGACTTGTTGCCTGTTTGGGTGCTAAAATGGGAAAGGCAAGCACATCTCGGATGTGGGGCTTGCCCGACAGCACCATAATAACGCGGTCGACGCCGAGCCCCCAACCCACTGTGGGTGGCAAGCCGGCCTCGAGAGCCTGGCAAAAGTCCTCATCAGGCAACGGCAGCTCATCGTTGCCTTGCTGGCGCTCACGGTGTTGCGCCTCAAATCGCCGACGTTGTTCGGCAGGATCGTTCAGTTCTGGCATGATCGTTGCGAGAGACAGTGGTCAAACCACACCAAGTCAAACAACACGCATGCATATGTTCTTGAGAGGGTGAGGACAGGCGTACCTTGGTAGGCATTGCACAGCTCGGCCCCGTTGATAAAAAGCTCCATCCGCTGCGCCACACCAGGCTGGGTTCAAGGAACATGACAAGGTACACAGGCAGGTAGATGGTGAGTAGGGTGGAGAAAGGCTGGAAGAAAGATGAGGAAGGGGTCGGGAGGCAAGGAATCGAGAAGGAACCTGCCTTATCGGGATGCGCCTGAGCCAATGGGCTCAGGAGCATGGGATGATCAACCACAAAGGTCGGAAGGACGCAGTGCTGCTCCACCAAGTGAGAGCCGAGCCGATCAACGAGAGCCGTGGCTGTTTCGTGGTCGCCAACCTCGAGGTGCAGTTCTTGACAGGCCCGGCGCAGAACTGGGCCAGCATTTCCTGGATCGGCATATACCTTGTTGACTGCTTCATCTCCCATGTGCGTACGCAAAGCTTGATCA